TTTTATAGTGTTTTTCGTAGTTTTTGATTGCTAGAAAGTTATTTACATTTACAAAGTTATTAAAAATATTTTTTTAATTTTGAAAATTCGGAAAACACTGACTTTTTTGGGTAATTTTTCACATTTTTGACCAAAAAGTCGAGGATTTTCGAAAGTTTTTACTCTTTTTGATATTGTTTTTAGATCTAAAACTATGTAAAATGTTATAAAAATCGTTTATATTTTATTAGAGGGCTGTAGGGAATCACAGGGAAAAATTTGGTTTCCCCAGCTAACAGTCCAGAACCTTTTCGTCCACTCTCACTCATTTCACTTACCCTGGCAGCAAACTCGACCAATTTCTGCCCGTCAGCCCCCTTGCTCGCATCCAGGAAATAGCTCATGATCCTGCAGCTTTGACACTTTGGGCCGTCTTCAAAGCCTGAAAAGATATTGATCGTTTTTCCCGATTTTTAGTCTTCAAGTATTAAATTACTTTTGATTAAGTTTTCATAACACTAACTTAGGACCACCACAATCCCTCCAGTAAGCTTGAACGTTTCCACGGAAGCATTCGGGCTCGCGAAATTGCCTTGTCTAAAAATAATATTTGGGAGCCATGGTCTCAAAATCCAAGAGAATCTCTGCTAGCCTGCCCTCCTCTCGGGGTCCGTCCATTTCCTCAAACAATCTCTGCTAGCCTGCCCTCCTCTCGGGGTCCGTCCATTTCCTCAAACAATCTCTGCTAGCCTGCCCTCCTCTCGGGGTCCGTCCATTTCCTCAAACAATCTCTGCTAGCCTGCCCTCCCCTCTCGGGTCCGTCCATTTCCTCAAACAATCTCCTGCTAGCCTGCCCTCCTCTCGGGTTGGGTCCGTCCATTTCCTCAAACAATCTCTGCTAGCCTGCCCTCCTCTCGGGTCCGTCCATTTCCTCAAACAATCTCTGCTAGCCTGCCCTCCTCTCGGGGTCCGTCCATTTCCTCAAACAATCTCTGCTAGCCTGCCCTCCTCTCAGGGTCCGTCCATTTCCTCAAACAATCTCTCTAGCCTGCCCTCCTCTCGGGGTCCGTCCATTTCCTCAAACAATCTCTGCTAGCCTGCCCTCCTCTCGGGGTCCGTCCATTTCCTCAAACAATCTCTGCTAGCCTGCCCTCCTCTCCCGGGGTCCGTCCATTTCCTCAAACAATCTCTGCTAGCCTGCCCTCCTCTCGGGGTCCGTCCATTTCCTCCCACAATCTCTGCTAGCCTGCCCTCCTCTCGGGGTCCGTCCATTTCCTCAAACAATCTCCTGCTAGCCTGCCCTCCTCTCGGGGTCCGTCCATTTCCTCCACCAATCTCTGCTAGCCTGCCCTCCTCTCGGGGTCCGTCCATTTCCTCAAACAATCTCTGCTAGCCTGCCCTCCTCTCGGGGTCCGTCCATTTCCTCAAACAATCTCTGCCAGCCTGCCCTCCTCTCGGGGTCCGTCCATTTCCTCAAACAATCTCTGCTAGCCTGCCCTCCTCTCGGGGTCCGTCCATTTCCTCAAACAATCTCTGCTAGCCTGCCCTCCTCTCGGGGTCCGTCCATTTCCTCAAACAATCTCTGCTAGCCCGCAAAACTGACCGATATCCCTCCGAAGCGATCAAAATCACTTTCTGGCGATTTGTCACCTGGACATCATAGAGTTTTTGGCGTGCCAGGTCAACAGCACTAAATTCATATTTATTTAAAGGAACGGGCAAGGCAGGGCGGCCATAAAACCCATAGGAATTCCACAGCCAAAAATTATGAGCCATGCCTTGCCGGTCCCTTTAAAAACACGCACCTCGTCAAATCGGATACCTCGCTCGGCAGATACGGTATGGCGAGGTTGTTAAAATCGGTGTACGACTTGAAATCCTTCAAATTTGCCACATTTCTTGGTGCGGCCGCGTAGCGATGACGCCGATTCGGGTTTGGTATCTGAATGCCGCAGTTGAAATTGTCTAAACCGTGACCCACCTACCGTAACCCTTGGCCAAGGGTGACGCCCTGGAAGGCCGACTTTACTTGGCTGATCATCTGAAGAATTTCTCTCTTCTCTCTCTCTCACTCTCTCTCTCTCTCTCGCTCTCTCTCGCTCCCTCTCCCTGTCTCTCTCTCTCTTACCTAACCGATTACGCCATAAATTCGAAACGAACCGAAAAATAACCGGTCGCATTCGTGGCGCTCGAGCTGTCGAAGAGAATCTCCACATCGAGCCAGATTTTGTTCGGAGAACAGGTTAAATTCGCGGCCTCGAGGCAGGTGGCTGAAAGGGCTAACTAGCAGAGCTTGTTTGAGGAAATGGACGGACCCCGAGAGGAGGGCAGGCTAGCAGAGATTGGAGGAGGAAATGGACGGACCCCGAGAGGAGGGCAGGCTAGCAGAGATTGGAGGAGGAAATGGACGGACCCCGAGAGAAGGGCAGGCTTGCAGAGATTATTTGAGGAAAACGCAACGGACTCACCAAAACACAGCGCAACAATCAGCAACCGCCCTCGGTGCATTTGGTGGTCAGAAGTGGAAGAATTCAAGTAGTCTAGCCCCGAAAATTCCAAAGCCGCGAGACCCGTTATCAGCCGGAAATTCCCCTCTGCTGATTTCGGCTAAAAAGGTGAAGCCGCAAGTCGGGTGAGTAATCCGCCAAAAAAGTGGAAAAAGATACCCCGTTCCGCTGGATATCAACAAGGCACGCCTCTGCTTCCGTTTTAAAGTCGGGGTCCCGGATCCGTCGGTTTGACAATAATAAATTCTTCCGGCTGGCCGTAAATACCGGGCGCTGGAATTCATCGGCCTCCGGGTAAGAGTAAAGTGTTTTTGGGGAGGATCGAACTCACAGCTATCATGTGCAGATAAGAACTCTCCCTCACTCTCTCTCACTCTCTCTACATTTCTCTCTCTATCTATCTCTCTCCCTCTCTCTTTCTCTCGCTCTTTCTTCTCCTCCTCTCTCTCACTCTCTCTCTCTCTCTCCATCTCTTTCTATTATCTCCCTCTCTCCCTCTCTTTGTCTCTCTCTCCCTCTCTCTCTGTCTCTCTCTCCCTCTCTCTCTCTCTCTCCCTCTCCCTCCCATCCCCTCTCCATCTCTCCTTTCTCTTTCTTTCCCACTCCTTTCCTCTCTCTTTTCTCTCTCCCCTTTCTCACACTCTCTTTCTCTCTCTCTCTCTCTCTCTCTCTCTCTCGCGTTTAATGCATCCATTTATTCAAGTAAGCCCTGTAACGAGTGATAAATGAGTTGAGGATGGGCAGAGGGGCAGGGTTTGTGAGATAAATTTGTACACAAGACGACACAACAACGAGTGAACATTACACACAAAAATGTTTTTACAACGGGAAAAGAATAGAGAATTATTTGGTGGAGGAGGTGGCGTTTGTAAATGGGACGCGTCGCGCCGTCGTCGTCGCGGCGCTCGTTCACTTCCTGCGCGACTGAAAAAGGATTTTTGGCTTAGGTCTAGACTAGGGCTAGGCATAGCTTCGGCTTAGGCATACGATCGGGCTTAGGCTTGGGCTTGGCTTAGGTTAGGCTTGGCTTAGCTTCGGCTTAGGCTTAGACTTGAGCTTAGGCAAGGCTCATTTGTGCTGAAGCTTAGGTTTGGGCTTAGCTTCGGCTTAGACTTAGACTTGTGGCATAGGCTTAGGTTTATTCTTCACACGGCGTGAGTTTTGGCTTAGCTTAGCTTAGGCTGATGCTTAGGCTTAAGGTCAGCAGACATCGGCTTACCTTCCGGGAAATGTGCTTAATTTTAGAGGGGTGGCCGCTTCGGGCCGGACGACTGGGTGGCTGATGCGGGGGTTGAGGTGGGCGGCGGGTCGGGTCTGGAAACAGGGCAGGCTAGCAGGGATCATTTGCGGATATCTCAGGGGAGCCGCGACCAACCTGGGTTTTGGCGGTTCGGCCGTGATTTTGGGATCGGCAATCGCTGGCGTTGGCGCCACCTGGAAAGGGGTTGAGAGCGAGGGCCCGAATTTCCTGGTTCTGGTCTGTTAGCGGGGGGAACCAAATTTTTCCAGTGATTCTCTACGGCCCACTAACAAAATATAAGATTTTAATGGCATTTACATAGCCAGATATAAAACATAACAAAAATAAAATTTTTGGCAATATTTGACTTTTTGGCCAAAATGTACGAAAAATGACCAAAAAAGTAAAATTTTCGAATTTTCAAAAATTTAAAAAACTTTTGTATGAATTTAGCATTCAAAACTACTCAAAAAATGCAAAAATGCATTATATATCACACGTTGAAATAGGTGGAAATACAGAAAGTGGGTTTCCGCCTGCAAAATCCCCTCTCCCCGCTAACAGTCCAGAACCAATTTCCGCAGGGTTTCTCTGCTAGCCTGCCTCCCCATCAGCAGTACGATTTTCCCCAAACAATCTCTGCTAGCCTACCCTTTCGGGGGTTACGGGGGGCCTTACGTACCACAGGCTTCGCTTCCGGTTCCACGATGGTTTCCGCTCGCTTCTGCGCCGCTTCCGGGGCCTGGAGATTCGTTTTAAAGGGCCGCTGAAGCCAAGGGATACCGTAGCCACCGGCGGTACCGGCTGCAACGCTTCATTGGTGCGCCATGGGCTTCGTAGCGGCGGTGGCTGAAAGTTGGGTAAATCCCCTGACCACCCAGCCAACGTCCACCTACCGTATCTCGGTCGCCCTGTGCGCTACGGAGCTCTAAAGCATACCAAAATGTTGGCCTTTCTATGGCGAGTATTTTGGTATACTTTACAGCTCTGTAAGATCCAGGAAAGCCGAGCTACGGTGGGCCAAGGACGGTGGGGGGGGGCTGCTGCACATCCTACTCACCTTTGCCGGCTCCATCTCGACGACGACCACGCCCGAATCATCTGCCGGTTTCGCCTAAATCGTGGGCAATTAAAAATTAAGGGAAAAATCCATGTAAATTATGAGGATTTACAAAAAATAAGGGCATAAAAATGCACCGGTTTGGGATCGGCCGGATGGGAAACGGTGGCTGGGTGGAATTGAGGTCACTAAAACGGGCGATTTTCCAGGGGTCCGTCCATTTCCTCAAACAATCTCTGCTAATTTACCTCTTGCCGCAATCCTGCCGGAGAGCCGGGCTGGGTGTCCTGAAATTAAACATTGGTGTGTCCTGTCAAATGTCCTGATCGTTCGCAGCAAACCATAAAAATTAAAGATGTTTCGGAGGCTACCTCTTCCTTTACAGAACGTCGCCGAGCTTTTTCGAGATCCCGGCTCGCTCTCTTGCTGAAGAAAGAGTGGCGGAGAGAGGCAGGATAAAAGCGCGGAGAGAGGGAGAGAAGAGCGAGAGAGGAAGAGGAGAGAGAAAGCAAAGAGAAGACGAGAGATAGGAGAAGAGGGAAAGAGAGTGTGAGAAGTGAGGGAGTGAGAGAGAGGGAAGAGAGAGAGAGAGAGAGAGGGAGAAGAGAGCCATACCACCGTATCCTCCGAGCGCCCTCCTTCGCCATGATGTCCAGCGATCGGCTCGCAGGAAGTGATGCGATGCCCGGCCAGCTCCACCCATTTGCCGCGACCTGAATTTTCCCGGTTACGGTAGCGATAGTCCCATTTCCAGACAGGTGTCAGCATGTTCTTTTGATAGAGGCGACGAAATAAGTTAATAGTAGAGAATATTATTGGATGGAATCATATATGAGTGGAAAAACACTCAAGACCTCAAAAAAAAAGTCGTCGACTCGTCTCGTCGAAAATTTTAAGAGAAAAAGGGTGGAAATAGGACATTTCTCATTGGAATGGGCCGTACGGGGGGTGTCCCCGTGGGAGACCAAAGCGAACTTGCGTATCAGCACGTATTTTCGACGTGCTTTCATTAGCCATTCAAAGGTAAACGCGGTTTATTCTCGGAGGAAAAGAAGGAGGAAATTCAGTGTAGTCTGTGCGTCTATTCCGTCTAATCGACAACGATGGGCTGCGCGTAGACGCGACGCTGGCTTTGGCCCAGTGGCGTTGGCGGGGCCCTGCGACACGATTTCCGGGTAGGTGAGTTTAAAGGGATCGGTAAGGCATGGCGATTCTGGACTGTTAGCTGGGGGATTTTAACAAGGAAAAGCCCTTGCTAAAAGATCTCCATTCAATTTCCACAGATTTGTTAAAGATCAAGTAGTATTTTTTTATGAATTGTTTTTAGGAGTTTTCGGTTAACTGAAAGCTATTCAAATTTTCTAGTAATTGGAGAACTGTTTTCTTAAAATCTTTAACCAAAAAAACAAAACAATTTCCGAGAACTTACTTTAATATTAATCTCAAAATTGTTTAAAACATTATAAAAACGACTTCTATATTGTTATAATCCTACCTTTTATAATTTTGGCGCGTATGTGTGTGTGTGTGTGTGGATGTCACTTTCAGGGATGATGAAGGTGACTACCCGTGTATAAATGCATGGTCTTCGTCACGTAGGGAATCGACCCTTCTGTTTCCGATGGTGTTCTCAAATTTCGATAAATACAGGTTTACAAAGTTAAAGCCGGTTTATTTATTTTGAAGTCGGGAGGGCTAATTTGCATAATGTGAAAAATACAAATTTCCTCATTCTTGCAAGTTGCACGCGCGCTTGTGCAGATGTCGGGGCGGGGTCCGCAGGACCCAGCTATCAGAAAGTCAAATTTCTCATGCGGAAGGAAGCCGCATTCCAGCGCCCAAGGCCCATGGCAGTTTTGAGCGCTGATTTATTAAATGTTTGGTTCCCCACAGAAAATCCCCGCTAACAAATCCAGTACCGCCATACCTTGCCGGTCCCTTGAATGCGAGTGAACCGAGACTACCTGTGAAGCCTGCTTGACACGCTCGGGGCGAGTGGGAGCAGCTGCAGTTCCGCCCTCCTCCTTGCCGTCGTCAATGTCCATCTCGTCGATTGTTGTCTAAAGGAAATGATAACGATTTCCTCAAGAATCTCTGCTAGCCGCCCACACTCAGCCGCCTTCGGCCCCTTTCCTTTCGGTGCCAGCGGATCGGGCGGGAACGTCGTCATACTGCATCTCACGGAAACTCCGGAAATTCTGGGGCTCGGTAAAAAGCGCCCACTGGCAATCCCAGTCGACGTACAGCAACGCGCCAAAGTTGTGCGAACGTGCCGCAATCAGTTCGGGGCCGAGAACACGGTCACCAGGTGGCGATGGGCAAAGAATTCGTAGCTGAAAATGATGGCAGGCTAGCGAGACATTGAGAGAAGTGGATACGTGAAGGGCAGGCTAGCAGAGATTGTTTGAGGAAATGGACGGACCCGAGAGGAGGGCAGGCTAGCAAGAGATTGTTGGTGGAGAGAGGATGGATGGACCCTTGCGGGAGGACTAGCGGTCGCGAGAATGGTTTGGGACGCCAGAGGAGGGCAGGCTAGAGTGTTGCGGAAACAGGCCCATCCTGTACGACCTGATGGCCGCGGACGACGAGATCGATGCTGAACTTCTTGCACAGCTCACCAGCGCCCTGGAAATTCGCGAGAATCACGCAAAGATCTCACTAGCTGACCGTTTTGCTAAATGATGTGATATGCCGCGGGCGGATCTTCGCAGAGTGGATCAACTGAGGGTCCGTTGGCCATTGTGGGGGCTCGAGTCGGCCCACAGCAGATCGACGGCCAGACACGCGGCAAAACGGGTCGACAGGTCGCGATGTCGTTCAGCTGGCTCAGCTCTGCGGAATTATAACGTCCGTTTTTAAAGGTGAGACATTGTCGCCCCTTAGGGGAGAACAGAACTTCTTCTCCTCTGTAATCAAGGAGAAGTTCCCGAGCTGTTCGTGTAGTAACTTAGATTGTGTTATATCATATAGTTTGCTAGAGAAGTATTCTTCAACTACTAATTTATCTGCATCTATAAATCAACTCATCTTCCCCTTTATTAGATAAGTCATTAGATTTAGTCTACAGGCTTTTCCCCTTTATCTACTTGGTTAGAATATCCTACTGTAATGGTCAACTAGATGCGCTGAAAGAGCACATCTCTGCTCCTCCCTGGCCGCTCTATCGGAGGGCGGCTGACAGAGGGCGGAGCCACAGAGCAAGACGTGTAAGCTACTCGCGACCCACTTTAAGTGGGTCGATCTACTAGCGGAAGTGCCGTCGTCATGGCGGCACACTCCCGGCCAAAAAAAATTGAATAAAGGAAAAGCCTGCGAGAAAAACAAAAAGAAAGAGAGACCGCACCCCAGCAACGAACAAAATACCGGGGCGGGAACGGGGAAGACGAGTATGGGCAACGCCAACAACACCCATGGAAGAAACAAAAAACCCGATAATAAGTGAAATATCGAAAGGAATACGGCTTCGGGAATGAGCAAGATGGGCGGATGGCAATGACGCAGGCGGTGGTGGCAGAAAGGCTACTTGGAAGGTAAGGCTACGAGCGGCACGAAGGTCTACGGCTGAGGGTCCAGCGAAGGGCTACGAATGAATAACGCTACTGATTGGATAGACTACTAGAGAACACTACTGATCGTCGACTACTGCAGGGCATGCTACTGTGCCGGAGCCTAATACTCCTGGCGGCGCTCATCGCGGCGTTCGACCCGCCGACGCAGCTGGCCGACCTCGCGGACGCCGCTGCGTGGCGGGTCGGGGATGGGATGCCACTTCTGGCGTTCGTAGAAGGCCCGGCCCGCCGTGTAGAAGCGCGGACACAATATTACATTGTGCCGCGCTTCTTCCAGCGAGCGGGTGTGCCTGTAGGACACCAGGCAGTATTTGGGCCCAGCGCGACAGCGGCTGCCGTTCCTCCCTACTGTGATGTGGCCGAAACAGTTCCCACACCAGCGAAACTGGCGCGTGATTTCTACTCGGTCATCGAAGGTTGCGTACACCCAACAGTCGCGTGGCGAATGGGAGCCACCGCAAAAGATACAGGACGAGGAGGAGGTGGAGTGTTCGCCCTGGAAATGAGCGCGCTCGAGGCTGCTTTGGCCGAAGCCTCGCTCGATCGGGGTTGCAGCCAGGTCGAGGCGGGCCAAGCCACCCAGCAGTTGTGCGCCAATCAGGGCCTCTTCGGCCGCTCGGCGTTCCTGCTCGGCGGCCTGACGTGCGCGTTCGGCCTCTTGCTGTTGCCGAAAGGCCGCGAATTCGCGCGCCTCTTGGCCCGAGAGGAGGATGCCCGGTGGCGGAACAGGGCCAAAGGCTACTGGGGAAGCCTCTGAAGCAGAGGGGACTTCGTGAGCGGGGGCGCCTACTGGGGTAGATGATAGAGAGACTACTGGGCCTGGAACAGGGACTACTGGGAAAAGGCCCGGTGGGGGGTCAGCGGAGACGGCAGCTACTGGATGGACGAGCGGGGTGACCGGCACAGAGAGAGACTGGTCAGCAGGGGCATCGGACGAGAAGTCTACGTCCATTTCGTCGAGGTCTACTGGGCCGTGCTCGGCCTCGTCGAGGTCTACTGGGCCGTGCTCGGCCTCGTCGAGTACCAGAAGGGCATCGTCTTCGGTCAAGAGATCCACTACGATCTCTTCTTCTCCTTCTACTTCCGGAACTTCGGCTACTGGCACTAGAGGCGGGAAATCAGCGGTACGTGGAGCAGGCTGCCTCGGTGGGACCGGGGCCGGTAAAGAGGGCGACGAGCGATTCTTTCGGGCCATGGCAGGCTAAAAAGTCACAGAGTTAGAATAAATGAGGAAAAATTAGGGAGAGCAACCAGGAAAGGAAACGGATGCCCAGCCGGAAAAGTAGCCGGACAGGGCGGAACAACAAAGAAAGTGACCACTGTGAGAGGCGAAGAACTACTAGATGGTAAGTGAGAAAAAGGCTAGCGACGAGTACGCAAGCACCCGCTAACAAGACACGATAGTGGGCCGAGATGATCGAAGCTAGGCCCAACCACTCCGGCCAGGAATTCAAGAGCTTGCTCAGAGGGAGTGAGAAGTTCCAGCCAGCGGCCAACGCTACTTGGTGAGCCAGGAGGTGGTGTGGTGAGGGCTGACTAAAGCCATCAAAATGAAGGGTTCCAAGTAAGAGGAACGTCAGATTGGAGTAAGACGTAGAGTGGCAGCGGCTACGCACAACGGAGTGCTCGAAATGCAGCGACCGGTTGGTCACGATCCCGGACCCATTGCACGGGAGAGAAAAAGCAAGGGGCCGGCTGGGTGGGCGCGAACACTCCAAATAAAGTGGTAAGGTCAGATTTGAGGGAAGTGAGCAACGAAAGGTGGCCACTGCGCCGGTTTCGCAGGCAAAACAGCCGCTAAATTGAACTACTTGGATGGTGGCATGAGTGATAAGATCAGCCTGGGATTCTGGCGTAAAATGCATTCCCGTGATGTCTAAGGTATACTGTAAATGGAAGGAGGAGTGAATAATCTCACTAGTTTGTTCCCGATTCAGGACTACACGGTAATCGGGAGTGACGAGTGGAAGGAGAGATCGCAAATCCCGAAAAAGATCGCGGATGCGATGGTGCTGGCAGCGACAATCGACGCTGTCGGCTACCGGATGGCAAGTACACAAATCAAAAAAGGTGCAATTACGCATCTTGGAGTCCCAGCACTTAAGGGCGGGTTGGAAGTTATCCGGGGCTACTGTGGCCAATTGGCGAACGGGATCAAAGAGGAACCTTTGATAATGTACATCATAAGCGGACAGCTCTAGAGAGGTAACTACTAAGCTGTGATTCTGGAGATGAACAGTCCGGTAAGGGGCGAGAAGGAGTTTGGAGACAAAGCGCTCCGACGCCAACGTAAGTTCTACTGTGAGCTGAATTTCGGGTTGCCAAGAACGACACTTGAAATATTCGACTGGGTTTTTGCTCCGTCGAACTTCCCGAATCCGATAAAAAAGGCAGCCGGCGGAGAACCAGCCGCACAAGCAGCCAAACCCTCCGCAGCTCTCTGCACAGTGACTACTGCCAAAGGCTTGATTGACTTCCAACGGAAGCTCGGGAATCGAGGTATTACTGCGGACTTGGCTGCAAAAGTCATTTTTGCACGAGCCCATGAGAGGGCAGCGTTTCTGGAAGAACACTTGGGTCTCGGAGTCGCGCGTAAAGGCGGCAACTACTTTCTGACAAACCTGGCGGACAGCCTGGCCGCGAATGCGAATTTCGCCAATGACGTTATGCGCATGGTCGCGCAGGAGAAAACACGATTCTAATTGGGTACTACTGAGGGATGCTAATAGAGTTTTGTGGAGGGCACAGCGACTGAAACTACTGTTTGGGACAGTTGAGTCCGTGATGCAGCGGAGATTGCTTTGATGCAAAAAGAGAGTTTCATCGCAACCCAACGTGGCCGGAGCGAAGAGGAAGGTCAGGGCCAGCACGAAGAACATGAATTTGACGCTCCCCCTGCGGCGCACGTGGGGAGAGTGTGGCTGGGCAACGAGGCGTGGGGAGGCTACTGAGACCTGCAACAGAGGAAGTTCGTCCTCTGCAGCCGTGGGGTACGCAGGGCGGTGTTTACGGCGAGCGAACCCGCATACTCGCAGGATCCAGTAACGCCACCTGAGAATGAGCTGGAGGAGCCGGGCGAGCCAATACAGAAGGACGCAGCCCAAGAAGGCGGAGAAGACTACGACCAGAGTAGAGAGGATGGGATTGCAATCGAAATTGAGCAACCGTTCCAGGCAAAAATAGCATACTACTGTATTGCAGAAGCGACTGGGGGGACAAGTGATCTCGAAAACCTGAGGTTCTTGGTCGAGAAGACGGGTCTTCCCAAGTAATGAGATACGGATGGCGCACGATCTGATGGTCGAAAAGTTCTACTTGATCCCGAGCTGGGTGATGGACAAGGCGACAATGATTGTTGGCGCAAATCTCATAATCATCACTACTGAGGGAATTTAACCGCACGCCTCCATCGACGCATGCCAGATGATTATGCGCGGAGACCAGGGAAGCGAGGAGCCAAAGAGAGGTCAAAAAGGTCAACTTATGATACTTCCAAGACCTAGAATTGCGAAATTGCACTACATTTTCAGCGTAGCAGATATTTTCTTTGGCACGCCGAGCGGGTTGCACGCGGGTGGGCCCCTCAGCGTTGCCAGAGACTACTGGGGCCTCAAGAGGCAGCACAGCGGCAGCTTCTGGGAGAGAACTCGAGACTTCTAAGGGGATAAGAAAATGCACTGGCCGTTCAACGAGGTGTTGACGTGGAGTGCGAATAACTACTGAACGAATCTCGAGATCCGCGCTGGGAAGCAATTTTTCTACTATGCCTAAAGACCAATCTCTGCGCGGCTTGCCCTCTTCTACTACGTACACCACGTCGCCGACGGCGGGCGTCAGGCGACCTTGGGTGTTGAAAAGTTGCTGCTTGTGATAGTCTCTGAGAGTCAGCAGATAATCTGTCTGAAAAGTCTTCCAGCAGTCCCGGAAAAATTTCTGGTAACTACTGAAGGTGGAAGCTACTTGATCAGCCGAGGACAACGAAGGAATCCAAGTGTCTTCCCGTTGGGAAAGAGGTAAAGGGATCGTTGCTCGAGGAGAGATAAAGTCGATCGGTCTCAGAATTTGATCGAAGTCGCGTTGTCCGGAAAGAGGACGTGAATTAACAACACCTTCGATTTCTACTAGGAACGTGGCGAAGGCCGACAGATCCATTTTTTGGAACTCTTTGGCACGAACGGTATTTTTGTAGAAGATACGCTTCACAGTGCCATTGAGCCGTTCCCAGAAGCCGCCTTTCCAAGGGGAAAGGGGGGTAATGAAGGAGAACTCAATGCCTTTGTAGTCAAAAAAGGAGCCTACTTCATCGATGAAGTCGGACTGCTTCTGAGAGTCCAAGAATTTGGCGCCCAAACGAAAATTCGAGCCATTGTCGGCCCAGACCTTGCGGGGCGAGCCACGGCGAGCGCAGAAGCGTTTAAGCGCGCGAATGAATTCTACGGTACTGAGGTCATCACAGAGTTCTAAATGAATGAGTCGCGTGACGGCGCAGGTCAGGAGAAGAACTACTCGGCTCTTTTTAGCTACTTGGAGAAAGAAATTATCAATGCCGATGACCTCAAAGGGTCTCACTACAGTGACCCTATCACTGGGAAGATGATTGAGACCAGGATATAGATACGGGCGGCCATTAAACTGCTTGCAGAGGGTGCAATGCCTGAGGAGGGCCTCTACTTTTTGACGCAACCCAATGGTGACGTACTGGCGCCGGAATTCGGCCATAGTATCTCGGAGACCGCAATGAAAAACAGTCTGATGGGCCTCCTGGAGGAGGAGGCTAAGCAGCGGACTACTAGGAAGGATATAAATAGGACTGACTGTTTCTGGAGCCAGTCCCGCTCGACCTAGGCGTGTATGGAGCCGGAACACTCCGAATTCATCTACTGAGATGCCCTTGCTGCTAAGCTTGGCAACATCGAGGGGCTGATGAAAGTAGTGTTGGCGAATAATCCAAAGGCGAGCTACTTCGCGCAAGTGAAGGCTATCCTCGCTAACAATATGCAGCGTATGCCGAAGGCGCGATAGAAGCTCTGGGCCGGACGCGCGAGCGAAGCGCTGGATAGCCAGCAACAGGACAACTACTGTTTGAAGAAGAGACCTGAACTTGGAGAAGCGTTCGATCGGGACGGCTGGCAGGAGTTGCGGGGCATCCCAAAACGGGAGCACCGCGGAAGCGGTGATCCGAAGCGAGGCAGAAGGGCTCTCGAGAGGCCGTCCAGCGGTTTGGCTGGCTGGGGCTCAACTTCGAGTTCCACTGCAATAGGCTCGAGAGGGAAGGAATCCTCGGAAAGAACTACTGGATGGATCGCTTCGGAGAGGTCAGGAGAATCTACTACACGAGGCTGAAAGACTGGCCAACTGACGGGAGGCGTAAGTAGTTGATCCGGACCGCGCAGCCAAACGTGGTCAGCGGCGAGTTCGGCCCCAGAAAGACCCCGGGTGGCACGATCCGCGGGGTTGACCTTGGATTCCACATAGTGGACGTGGCAAGGAAGGCCTTTACTGGCAAAGAAAGAGAATGTCTCGGTCAGGAACTGGAGGCGGTTCCGAACGAAGACACCTTCGCGGGGAGGTTTGGAGAGCCAAGCCAGGGTGGCCGTGTTATCTCCGAAGAAGTGCACTGAATCAAAAGTCAACTCAAGTTTGTCAAAAAGAAAAAGAGCCAATTTCCCCGAGAGATAAAGACCAAGAAGTTCTACTTTTGGAATAGTGAAGCGCTCCTTCCCGCGGAGGGGCACCAATTTGAAATTGGCCTTGATTTGGTGAACAGAGACGCCGAATTCGTTTTCTACTCGTAAATAGGCAACCGTCGCGTATGCGCGGCTGGAAGCATCACTAAAAAGGACTAAGGTAATTGTTTCGCCCGGACTACGGTGGACGATGGCGCGGGGTAGGGAGAGCTGCTCGCCCTGAAGGGCAGCGATGATCTCAGCGAGTTCTACTTGATGATCCGGAAGGAGTTCATCATTCCACTGGTAAGGGTAATCCCATAACTTTTGCAGGAAAAGCCGACCCGGGAGGATAGCGGGAATAAGGATCCCGGTGGGATCGAAGAGGCTACTGAGAATGCGGGCGGCTACTCGCTTAGTAATCTTTTTAGTGGGGAGCGTCTTATATTGAATGGTCCACGTAATCACGTCCAGCAGAGCATTCCAGGGGAGGCCCAGGATTTTTTGAAGGTGATTATCGGACAAGGAACGCTCGGAAAAATCCCTGAGAATTTCCATATTGTTGCAGTAATACTCGCGCAAATTCATATCAATGGTTGAGAAGATCTCCTTCGCCATATGGGCTTTGAGATTGCCTTCAGCTACACTACTGCATCCGATAAAACAATTATCGACGTAGCACATGGCAATAATGTCGGCGAATTCCGGAAAGCGGGCTACTAAAGCCAGCTTGGCCATTTCGAGTAAATTCGGGCTACAGCTGAGACCAAAGGGCAGACGACGGTGGCGAAAAACTACGATGTTGCTACTATCAAGAGGCCCCTCGGGATCGCGAATCCATAAGATGCGCGTGGCATCCCGATCTACTTCTTGAAGCCACACACCCCAGAAGGCCTTCTCAATATCGCTAGTGATGAGATAGCGAAAGGTTCGGCACTTGAGTATGATGGTGGTCAATTCTCCAAGAAGCGAGGGGCCCACGTGCAGGGCATCGTTCAAAGAGAGTTCGCCAGCGTATTTGGCGCTGGCATCCAATGTGGGACGGATCTTAGTGGTAATGCTACTGGGCTTGAAGACGAAATGCACAGGAATATAATATACTACTGGGCCGTCGGCGACGGTAGGATCGGCAACTACTTCCAAGACACCGCGATCATGCATATCCTCGATACAGCCACAAATCGCGCGCCAGATCTTGGGATCCGCGCGATACTTGGGCAAAATTGGAGGAAAGACGCTGAACGCTAGCCGGAAGGAATTGGGGAGCGAATGGGTGGGTAGAAGGGTAGAAGGAGCGAATGGGTGGGTGGGCAAACGGCAGGGATGGGTGGGTTATGGAAGCGAAAAAAATCTTGGGCCCCGCTAATGACTACTCCAAAAAGGGTTTTTGCTGCTACTAGGCCAGAAGGAAGATGCAGGAAGGTAAATGGCGGAAGGAACATGCTCCACCACAAGTCAATCCCGATGAGGATGTCAGGTTCGACGGAAGGCTCGGGCAGGAGGATGTCCCATTGATGTGATTGCAACAACTCAAGGTCTTCCACCGAAAGCTGGGGAGGAGAGTAAGTGCGCGTTAAGTCACTGTCAAGCGAATAGACGACGATGGATTTAGAGACGGATGGGTCAGCAGGATTACGGAAGATGAGCCGAACCACATCCGAAACTGTCTCATAGCCGCGGTTACCGAAGCCAATAATTTGGAGATCTTGGACGGCCAGCGTGGCGAGCCCAAGCCGCTTATGCAATTTGCGGGAGCAAAAGGAGGCTTCAGCACCGGGATCGAGCAAAAAGGTTGCATGTCTGGAATAACTTGACTACTGGGCTATAAACTTCGATTGGGAGGCTCATAAGAAATCTTTTGCTATGAAGAAGATTCTGAACAAGACCGGAGACTACTTCTTCTTCGGAAAGCGTGGTAGGGAGAGGTGCCGTGGACGGTCCACCGCCCAAGCCTTGCCTCGGGAATCCTTGGAGCGAAGGCGGCGGGCCGCCAACCCGACGCCGTGTTGAAAAAAGGCGACATTCTGGCGGAAGGAAACGCTACGGGACTCGCGCCGAGGAGACTCCCTACGATAGGGTTGGGAATAAGAGTCCCGGCGCGGAGAACTGCTACTGGGGCGCTGAGACTGGGTCGTGCGCTGAGGAGAGCGACTACTATGCCAATCCGACGACGTCGATGACGTCGGAGGGCGGCGATCCTGGGACCGAGTAGGGGAATGGGCATAGGCCGAGGAATTCCGATGACGGGACTCATAGGGGAGGGAGAACGACTACGACCGCGATCATATGAGGAATGACGCGAAGAAGAGGAGGGATTGCGAGAAGAATCTCCGCGTCTACTATCATACGAATCGCGGCTAGCGCTTCGGGTTCTACTGTGATCTCCGGGGCGGGCAGCGTCAGTCCCGAGGCCCCTAGAGGAAGATTGAGAGGAGGAATCGAAACGCCGATAAGGACGGCAGCAGGCTACGGCGTAATGGGCATGGTGCGTCGGCCATGAGGAACCTGATCGAATACCCGGTTACCCACCTGTTCGAGTAGTCACTTTTCATTTCAGTAGATTTTTTTTATCCCTCCTTAATTTTTTTTTATTTTGCCTTTCTATTCCTTTACTTTTTTCATTTTTTCTTTCCATGTTTCTCATTTCTGAAGTAGTAGTTTCGGAACTTTGGGCATTTTTTCCTCGTTGGAATTTGGGAACCAGCTTCTTTCCAGTTCCCTCCCCCCTCATATGACGCCTCGGACAAAGTCTCAGTAATGGCTAGTAGTAGGAGCAACCATAGGCCCGGGTCTGGGGTCGGGCTCCGGACAACCCGACAGCAAAGTCGCGGGTCGGCATGAATGACCGGACAACTCGGGTTGTATTGGTCTCAAAAAAGGAGGGGCCCGCCGATACAACTTCTGCTGCCTTACATACTGACTGGTACCAGGGATCTGTCTACAGTCCACAAAATGGGCCATCCACCTCTTATCGCACTAGGCGCTGCTCCATTGGGCCCCACCAGGGCGTGCTGATTCTCCCCCTTTGATTAGCATTTCATTTCCCATTTTGACGCGGGCGAAATGCCGTACCGTCATTCTGCGCCTGGAGCGGGCCCGGGCGAGTTTCTCCTGAACCCAGGAAGGGAATTTTCTAAGAGAACAAAATGCAGCCCTTGATTGTCATGATGGAGATCTACTAGTTTGAGTCGATTGACCAAAGCCAGCGTCAGGTGGTACTGACGCCGGAGGTCCACGACGGAATCGGAGTCTGTAAGAGGAGCTAGCCTATGCAATTCCCTATGGAGTTGCAAAGCGTTCTGCTCATTGCTACTGGTAGCGCATTTAAACTGGGCAAAGGCATCAGCAAAAAAGCCCGGTTTAAGCGGGATACGCTTTCGTGATGATTTCATCTGGCGTGTCGTTAGAGCTTCACGGAATGCGCGAAGCTTTTCTACTTCAGTGAGCTGATGTTGCGACAATGGCTGTCAAATGTTTCCACGAAATAGTCAAAATCAGCGGCAATGCCACTCCATTTAGGGCTACTGAGATTGGAAAGATTAAGGAGACGCAATTTTTCAAGACTACTTTCAAATACCTGGGACAGCGGGGGTTCGGCATCGCCAGTGGCAAGTCGCAGTCGAGCTTCGGCAGTGACACGCTCGTTTTGAGATTCTAGCTTGTGGATTAAGGTTTTAATTTCGGCTAGAAGTGGAAGAGCACTACTTAAGCACGCTGTAAACTCCGCGACTTGTTCCTCGAGGAATTTCTCAAGCGTCTTTACGTTTGAGGTCATCAGTCAAGCCAGCTACTGCGAGGTCAAAGGCCTCTAAGTGTTTTTCGCACTGATTTTGTGCGTCTTGGAGTGTAATCGCACCACTACCGAGGGCTGCGCGTCCTTTGATGAAATACGGCCCCACTCATCAGGTTTAGTGGGAGGAGGGGTTTTAATGCCTACGAGGTCCTTCTCTGCAGCTTCAAGAACCTTAGAGAAATACGAATTAGCTACTGTCACATGACTCTTGAGGTACCCAGATTACGGGTAAGGGGCATGTTGAAAGAAGAATGAAAGAATGAAATAAAGAAGAAAAGATATGAAATAATAAAGAAATAAATAAAGGGTAAGGCAAAAACGCTAACGAACGATACGGTAAGCAGAGGAAAGCGGGTGCCGGAGGGGTAAAGAGGGAAGGGAATGGCGGGACGGGGAAGGGGCCCGGAGGGCTGAGTCACCGACCCTCCATTACCAACCATTAGCTGTTGCCGAACGGTAAACGGATGTGGCAGAAAGCAGCGGCGAAAAAAGCTAATGGATCTCCATTAGCGCGCGATGTTGTGGCGGGCCAAAAGTGGGGCTTCAATGGGGAATTTCGAAAAAATTTTTTGGGCTACTGTAGAATCGGTCTACTATACGAAGAAAAGAGATAGAAAGACAAGAAGAGAAATAAGGGTAAAAGTTTTTGAAAGGCTGAAAGAAGATTAATGAAAAGTTATGAAAGGAAAGGAATTAAAGTAAAATGAGAATCATATGGAAGAATGGGAATCAGGACGCCCAAATGACTAGCTCCTGCGGCGTGTGAACAAGGTGGATGGCCCATTTTAGGACTGTAGTGCAGATCCCTGGTACAGTCAGTATGTAAGGGCAGCAGGGAAGTTGTATCGGCGGGGCCCCTCCTTTTTTCTGAGACCAATACAACCCCGGGTTATCCGGTCATTCATGCCGACCCGCGACTTGGCGGTCGGGTTGTCCGAGTCCGACCCAGACCCATGGCCTATGGGTTGCTCCTACTACTAGCCATTACTGAGACTTTGTCCGAGGAGTGCATGAGGGAATGACACCGTCAAGGAAGCTGGTTCCCCAAATTCCAAAGAGGGAAAAAATGCTCAACGTTCCGAAACTGCCACTTCAGAAATGAGAACATGGAAAAGATGAAAAGAAATGAAGCGAGATAGAAAGGCAAAAATGAATAGGAACACAAAGGGAAGAAATAAAGCTGCTGAAATGAAAAGTTGACTACTCGAACAGGTGGGTAAGCGGGTAACTCAGGCTCAATGGTTTCCCGGCCGACGCACCATTTCTGTCGCCCCTTAGGGGGGAGAACAGAACTTCTTCTCCTCTGTAATCAAGGAGAAGTTCCCGAGCTGTTCGTGTAGTAACTTAGATTGTGTTATATCATATAGTTTGCTAGAGAAGTATTCTTCAACTACTAATTTATCTGCATCTATAAATCAACTCATCTTCCCCTTTATTAGATAAGTCATTAGATTTAGTCTACAGGCTTTTCCCCTTTATCTACTTGGTTAGAATATCCTACTGTAATGGTCAACTAGATGCGCTGAAAGAGCACATCTCTGCTCCTCCCTGGCCGCTCTATCGGAGGGCGGCTGACAGAGGGCGGAGCCACAGAGCAAGACGTGTAAGCTACTCGCGACCCACTTTAAGTGGGTCGATCTACTAGCGGAAGTGCCGTCGTCATGGCGGCACATACATTTGGTGAAAATGCTCCCGGTTCTTTCAAAAAATCAAGCGGTCAGTTTTGGCTCCGGTTGATCAAATGTATGGGATTTCGAGAAAAGTTCTAAGAAACGGGCCAAATTTCAAGAGGCGATATCTCGGCCATCCGATGTCCGATTTGGATGATCTCAACATCTATCGATATCTACTCCTCTAGAGCTATCGTTTCGCGTTAAAGGTATCGCATGCAAATTGCTCTATGCAGAGATAACTTGCAAATGCGGTTTTGCATGATTTTGCGGAAAACTTCTTGAAGCTCTATCTCGGCGTCCCTCCAGTTTTGGGTGCTAGGAGGGTCTACCCTAAATAGAGCTCGGTGAGACCTATCAAACCATATATTATACTATCAATTCGGGTACGTCTGCAGCTTTAACAAACGATTCCAAAAAATTGTGACAGAACTTATTATCCAACCTGATATAAATATGGCCAGCCACCCCATTAAATGCCGTTGCCAGGAAATAGACAAGCACGAGGCAGAATAGATTATACCACCGGTTGAATATCGCCGAGAATTGACTAAATTTTCTGAAATTCGGAGTTTTTGTCGAAGAAAATTTTGTGTTTTCAGGATTGGGTTGTTTCGAAAAATTTCGCATTTTGTAAGGCATTTTTCGCTTTTTGGCGAGCTAGCAGGGATTCTTTAGGAAATTTCTGCCCGATTAGAAAAATTAGAAAATAAAAGAATTAGATAAAATTTTATTAGAAAAAGCTTTTGTGCATAGAAAAATTACCCGGAAATTGTCACATAACGGTAGAAGCAATGGATCGCCAGGAGTGAAATGGACATCTCAAAGGAGCAAATATAAATCTGAAAGTGTATATACAAAAATCTATGTAAAAAAGCGCTAATCAACTATAATAATTTTCTTGACACGTCTGTCTGTCCGTCCGTCCGTCTGAAGCCGAATTCAACTCGAAGGGGAAAGGAGCTAGAGCTAAGCTCTCTTCGGATTCGGATAGAGCGCCGTCAGAAACCCCCAAACTGATAAACAAAATTATGAAAAACTTTTAGTTTAAATTATTAAAATTAACTTTGAAAGTTTTTTCCTTAGTAAAAGTGGTGGGGGACGGAGGTTGGGGTGATTTTGGACATAGTGAGCCAGGTGACGCGCGTTTCGTGGATGAAAATTTTCACGGGGGATTTCATTTCTTTTTTTCTCTCATTCCATCCGGTCGGTCGTTATTTTTGTTTTTTAAGGGGATTTCGCCTACGGGGAGGTATCTGAAGCCATCAGGAAGGTATTTAGGTAGTTTTTGGAGGGGATTTCAGCCATGGGGGGTATCTGAAGCCATCAGGAAGGTATTTAGGTAGTTTTTGAAGGGGATTTTGCCTAGGGGAGGTATCTGAAGCCATCAGGAAGGTATTTAGGTAGTTTTTGAAGGGGATTTTGCCTAGGGGAGGTATCTGAAGCCATCAGGAAGGTATTTAGGTAGTTTTTGAACGGGCTTTCGGCTATGGGGGTACTAGCTATCAGGAAGGTATTTAGGTAGTTTTTGAAGGGATTTCAGCCATGGGGGTATCTGAAGCCATCAGGAAGGTATTTAGGTAGTTTTTGAAGGGGATTTCAGCCATGGGGGGTATCTGAAGCCATCAGGAAGGTATTTAGGTAGTTTTTGAAGGATTTCAGCCATGGGGGGTATCTGAAGCCATCAGGAAGGTATTTAGGTAGTTTTTGAACGGGATTTCGGCTATGGGGTTATTGATGGAGGTG